AACGGTTGAGATGTCCTTTATGGTTAAAGTTCATCTCTACCAAACGGTTGAGATGTCACCTAATGGTTTAAGTACATGACATAATAAAAATACCAAGTACAATAGATAAATTAAAATAAAATGTTAATTTATAAAGAAATAAGCAATAAAAAATGTCTGGGGCATTGGATAGTTTATTTCTGTCACAATGACAAAACATTGGTTTTAATTTCAACTAAAGAAAACATTGCGTTGAACAAGGAAATATAGAATTTTTAATTTTCCCATCTTGACTGTCTGATTATTAAAGTGCAACAGCACAAAATTCTCACATTCAATCCACTTCTGATTATAGGTAACAGTGCAAAAAAAATAATTTTTACATTCAAAAAAGAAAAGAAAATACTGCAGAATAGAAACATTTATTACTTTTATATCTCAGCACACCTTTTCTGTTTTTGTGCAACAGCATGTATTTTGGGACACAACTGTCATGTATCTGGAGGATTGATTGAACTAGTGTTACTTGTTTTCATTAAAACTTTGAAAAAACATGGCAAACACAGAAAAACATCAAACATTAAAACATTTCATATGTGTTTGCAAAACAGCCTTCATTTTGTGCATTAGATGCGCTTTACCTCTGGTGATACAACTTGAAGCATTCCTGGCTCGCATTCAAACACAGGAAGACATTGCATTTCTCACATTTCCACCTGGACACTCCCTTTGGACACAGGTTGCATCTCCCTCGTTTTTCACAGTGAAGAGGCCAGTGTCCCATGTTGTCGTAGCGCACATCTGTTTGTGGTTTTGGTCGTGATGGTCTTGAGATGTAGCCTGTCTGCTCTGGTGGTGGAGAGCTGGAAGATGGTCGGCCAACTTTGGATGCTGGCTTATTGAACTGGTTCAAACTGTGGCCAACTGCGAGGCGGAACTGTTTGAGAGACATGGGTTTCTCATTCAGGAGGCCACTGTCCCTTTTGTAGAGTAGCCAGGAATTTGCAATGCAGAGGTCCAGGATGTATCCAAACAGAGGAAGATACCATCTCCTTGACCTGGCTGGGGTCTTGTACAGGTGTACTAGCATGTCAGACAGATCGATTCCTCCCATATGCTCATTGTAGGCAGAGATGAGTGATGGACACGGGATGGTGATCTTTGTGCGGGACTCTTTGCTCCAGRGTTTCACTGTTGAAAAGGGCTTGATCCCATAGGCATTACTGAGCAAGTTGACACATTTGTTATCAAACCACTTTACTGCAAGAACCCCTTCAGCAGCCATAAAGTCACAGGCCCCACGCCCCTTTTTCATCAGGTCTTTGTCTGTCATCAATGGAGCTCCACCAGTGCGGTTTGGTCGTACGGTGCCGATGCACTTGACACCAAGGGCAGTGTGGAGGTTCTGAACCAAGTTGAAACTTGTGAAGAAGTTGTCACAAAAGACAACAGACATRTGGGGCTCTTTTATGGTTTTGCAGAGCGTTGTCACCACTTTTGCTCCCAGAGGCAGGGCCTGCTCCTCTTTACTGAGAGCAACATTGAAGAACGTGGATGCCCCTTGATACAGCAGGAGGTCGTGGATGATGCCGGATGAACTTGCTCGACAGAATAATTTGAAGCCCCACTTGTCTGGCTTGTTGGCGATGTACTGGCGCAGGTTACCAGCTCTTGTGCCTTTATATGCCACCATGACCTCATCAACACTGTGCTTGTGAGTGGATGGTATCAAGAGACACTGCTCACGAAGCATTTCAAAAAGGGGACGGATTTTGTAAAATCTGTCCTGACTCTCACTGCACTGCTGATTATCATTGAAATGAATGTATCGCCGTAACAGCTGGAATCTCCTCCTTGGCATGATGTCAGCAATCAGATCGAAGCGTGATTTCTGGAGCCAGTAGTCCTCCAGTGACGGGAAATTGAAAACACCCATGAAAAGTAGGACAGCTAAGAAATGCTCTATTTCTG